TGCTATTAAATATTCATAAATGCACATATTATAATGAGGTGGGCGCAGAAATACGTGCATAATGAGGTCAGCATGGTAAAGGTCACACTGCAGACCCAACATGGCGGCACGTTGAAATTCGAGTTTGTTGTAGTCGTCGTTTCTTATTCATCACAATGTGTAAAAAAGTAACTCGTACTAGTCGTAGAATTAAAACAAAAATCGGCTGCTACAATCAGCCGACGTCTTCTCGGTCAGAGGTCAGTTGAAGGGACGTTGTGAACGGGTTCCTGCAGTGTCGATAGAGGGTCATGCAGAATAAACCAGTCGGGGTGATTTCGCAGTTACAGGGGATTTTGCGCTAACACCTCCATTTCGCGATTTTTTTTATTTTATTTAAACTACAAAAACAAATTAATTGCCCGACTGCGCCAGTCTAGGGATTCTACTGTATGAAGTACCAAGGGGATCAGAAGCAGGAGGGACAACGTATGACAGAGATCAACATGACAGAGAAAGAGCCAGGTGTACTGCATATCGAAGATAGATAGTACTGCCTATCTATGCACTACCTGGCACAGACACCACGTGCTGAACTAGTAACACGGGTCTATGATATAAATTACTTATTATGTATTTATTAATTGATGACATTTGATATTAGGAGCATAGAAAACCATATGGTAAATTAGTAAAGTTGCTAGTGCCAGTATCTAACCATAACCCAGGCATTATTATTGTATCAAAATTTTACTGAATTGTGATTTATATCAGAAGACACTGAAACACAATGAAGATGTTCAATGAATTTGGGAGATAGTCACAAACAAACCTATCATTCACTCAGACATCCAGACAAATTCTGGCTCTACGAACAGCAAATTTACCCTGAATAACAATGAATACATTTAGCAGGTTCAATATTGATCATTATATTCCTTTAATCAACAATAACTGGCGGAGTTTGGTCAGCTAGTCACACAAAATGGAGTATTGAATAAGTGAGCCCATGTGTTCCAAATATTACTGTACATTTTGTTCCAGTTTTTTTAATATAAAAAATACTTATTCCATAAATGTTTTCTATACATTATATATAATGTACTTGCTCTCAGGCGCACTAACACTCATTAGACATCGCTGTTGTCAATCTTAGGCACAAACAGCTGCAAAAATTTCGAAATTATTCTGACACCCAATATTGCAAATGTATGCAATGACTGACCCGATTGGAACACTATACAAAAGAAAAAAAACAAGTCTTATGGCACTCATTCTCTCGAATAGGGTTTTTTTCAGGACATTTACAGGTGCAACTGAATTTATGATTAAATAACATGTGTTAGCATCTGATATTATTATCGTCTCATTAATATATATTATCGTCTCATCTTTCTATCCGACAGCTCTACAAATAATTACACAATCCGTATCGTTGGGAAATCATCTATCCACACCAGACGTCACTGACAATAAAAGCACGTCGCCTTTTGGGCACATTACAGTGGTCCACAGATACACCCTGGAATCATCACCTGGTATGTAAGCTCTCATTTTCGTGTTTTTTCTATTCACAGTCCATAGGAGTACGTATATTCCGATGTGCTGGTCGAATGTGTAGACTATCCACGACTGTTTTAGTGTATACGTTACTCGGATATATATTGCTTCCATATCACATGCGACAAAAACCTAATTGACCTTACAGTGTGAAGTAAAATATTTGACATTCTCCTGATCAAAAATTACCGTTGCACAGCTTTTAAGGAAGCACAATTTGCGAGTTCGTACCTAATACATCTTAGGGCATCCTGTCATTTGCATAAATCTTCATCAATCACTAACACAGATTTTTATCGTCCAATTGTGAAATGTGGTTATTTTGGGTTTCAAATCCTACTGTTGCCTCGCGTGTATGTTACTTTTACATAACATTCATATTTTTAACCGATATTAAAAACTGACCGAAATATTCAAATAAATACAGTTCCGATCAATCCATCAATTAAGAACTACCATCAGGATAATAATCGGTTCTAATCGGATTACTAAAATTTGTAATTTTTTATCACCCTGAACGATTCATGCGTGGGTACAAAATCCTCAATCATAATCATTAGTTTGATTGCGGATTCTTAACAATACAATAATACAGTGGTAATTTTGATTGATGGACAAAAATACAGTTAAATACAATTTTACGCATATATAGATTGAGACAATAATGCTTACGTTCAATCGTACACGTGGGACGCCACGTGTGAATAATTTTAAACTTTACTTTATTAGGTTTAATAAACAATTCTGCTTGGTATGTCAATATCGCCGCAACCTTGCAATAGTTTAGTACTAAACACGGCATTCAACACGCACCAAAATATATACCCAGTTTGTGATAGGTAAAGGCGATAAAAACATGCAATACACATACCACAGCAAGGTCGGTAGTGATGTTATCGGGATCGGGGTCAGCTATGGTAGTACACGGATCCGCGCACCGTGTCGATTTAAACGTGGACCCTTCCCGTCTGTGAAAATAGTGTGTAGGAATGCCACGCGGTTGAACCTCAAGTATTAGCCAGGATGTCACACAGTCTATTCAGTCAATCGTTATTTCGATTGCATCACCTGTACATTCATCATCCTCATACTCGTCCAATAACCGGGAAGACTATTATGCCATTAGGTGACGACTTCTGGGTCACGGAGTACGATTTATTTTCGGACATTTGTAAATGTTTTGTTAAATCTTTGGACTACAAATCCCACCTCTCAGTATTGTTATTAGTTTACATCTCTCGTGTACAATTATATGGCTACTAACAATTAGTTATTACAATAATTTCAAAGCAAACATATTCACAGTCAGCTGCACGACAGACAGCCTGGGTTAGTGCGTCTGTGTGTATGTATGTGTGTGTGTCTTTTCCACTGATGTCTTAAAATTTACATATCAGATTTGAATGGAACTTGGTAAATAGATGCTCTGTGATAATGTTCAGAACAGAATTCAAAGAAAGTGGGTACACAGGGGCAATTCACAAATCTGATGTCGGTGATTGAAATCCATAATTATAATAACATAATAAAAATATTAATTTGCCGTTTTTGTAGATTGTCTACCTATATATCAACTACTCACCAGGTTTCAATTTTAATGGAACTTGGTACATAGGTGCAATATTCATTTTTAATTTGAGTACCATTCATCGCAGAGGCGGCGGTACGAAATGTTTCAGGGGGGCGAGATATGCTCATCAACATTGCGCCGCGACCATACTAGGGGGTTTGGGGGCATGCTCCACCTTTTTGACATTTTCATAATTTTTTTGAAAACTTCATAATCCCCAATTTTAAAATATATAGCCCCTCTGAATCGTTATTTTCTGCATTTTGATGGGCAAATTTTGCTGACACAAAGGGTTTTTGTTTAATTTTGGAAGGGTGACGCCCTTCAAAATTTTTTTTCGAGCCCCCTTGTGCCGCCGCCACTACATCAACTTTCAATGAAATTTGGTACAGATGTGATTACTTCAGGGTTAAAATCCTTGTATATTAATTAGCCACATTGTGTAAATAATTTTATGTGATAAAGACATACGACCAGTGGAGAAATTTGATCAAATATATAACTAGCATACCACATGTTCATATATGTGACCTAATTACCATGTCATAACTGTATATTTCAGATAAAGGCAAGCATGTGGTCAAAGTGAGACTTCATAATATTTTGCGCGCAATACAAATTTAAATTTATGTGAATTAGAGTGTCTCTAATATAGTACATTTTTATTTGTACTCATTTGCCTCCAACACACTTAGCACAATGTTCTTTCGCAGCTTTCTTTGATTGAAATATTCTTTTAAAATCATACATTTTCAGGAAAATGCGTCTTGTTATCTTAATAACGTTGGCAACAGTCGCCACCGCATATGAATTCGTGGAAGGCGAGGTTACATGGAATCTTGATCGTATCGATCAATCAAAAGCTGTATGGCCAAAGTGGAATCCCGAAGTTGCAGAATATGACCCAATAGGTGCGTAAATATGTTTTAAATGGAGAATAATTACAGTCACCCAGGAATGCGAAATCAGAACCCACACATGTTATATTACGACACACATTTCACCAACATGGGTAAAACTATGTGAGTGACAGAATATTTTTTCAAACTGAAAGATAACATTTTTTTATCTTGTCTCATTTGTATTTCTATTATTTGATTCGGCACTGTTTTCAACACTACTACTGCTGTTTTTTTTTTCAACTTTTGACCTATTATCATTATATAGAATTATATTACAGTATTAACAAACCCAGTGATTTGTATATGCCATAATTGTAAATTATTCGACAAAATGAATTCTGGTCAACTGCAATTAGGCCTGGAATGAGCACGGCTCTGACAGTAACCAAATGCATGACAAGCAAATGCACGAGAACTAAAGTTAACCGGGTAAAATTAATCAACTCGAGAAAGAACCGAGTTGGCATTGGTCAAGAACAGTGGGGGTGGGGGGGGCATGCCACCCCAAACGCATGACGATTCATTTCATCTGGATTACGCATAGCTTCTCTGCGATTTACGCTCCGTATATTTTAAGCGAAGCTTGGGCTCCCTCAATACATTTTGCTGGACCCGCCACTGGTCAAGAATCACGTGATTAAATATTTAACAAGACAATATGTTACATGGTTCAGTCTTTGTCATCTGCTCTCGCGTACACTTTGCAGTGTGCATGATTTTGCGACTGACGTGCCTGTAATATTAAGCTGTCAATTCGATGGAATTAAAACGAGAAAACAATTGAAGTTCATGATATAAGATCAGTGGTCCGTAAGTATTTCGAGTCCGAGCACGAGGACAAGATTGAACTCCCCGGATGATCAAACATACATCATATATCTTGGAATACATATGTACGTCATGTTAAAGCCAACTTATAATTATGATAATTAACTTCAACTTTTTCAAAAAAATATATAAAACGTTACCGATATACCAATTCGATTTGAGCAAATGCTTATAAGCGTTTTTTTTTTTTTCATCGTCACAACTTCGGAACTATTTCTTAGATTAAATGATTTGAACACTCATATGACATTGACGAATATATACTCATGCAGGCAAATCTAACAACTAATTGATCCCTAAAATATCTAAAACATAAACTGACATTGGGAGCGGGAGTTCATCGTGACTGCCTGTTTACCACGTCACTGCTATAATAAAGCAATCTGATGTTGAAGGTGTTTGGTTAGCAAACGTCTTTCATGAAATGTTAGCCAACAAATTAGGTAATTAATCTGTAACTCAGTAAACAGAAGACAAAATGTAAACAATTCAGTGATCAGATTGTATAGCTTAATGACCAAGTTGGCCATTCTGTGCTTGCTTGTCATATTCTGTTATTAACAAATATTTACACAGGCATCGCCAACTATCATTTACGTGGTCTAAACTTATTGAAACTAAAGTTATTTTGGATGGAAGTTGATTAGCTACCTTTGAAATTATAATGAAAACCAAACACAAACACATATTTCCTTGTGTGTTTAGTTGTAATTATACATATTTTGATAATATTGTGGTCTCGTCTGCGTTTTCTTGTAGGTACCGGGACCGGCAGTGTTGTTTACATTCTCAGTACTGGAATACAGGGCACACATAATAACTTTGGACCAGGAATTGTACGCCAGACGGTGATATATGATTTCGACCCAAACAATGTGGTATGTCACAAGCAGAAAATAGTTTTGCAAATTAGTATTTCCATTAGTATTTTACAAGTATAACAGAGTCACAGTCATGGGAAGAAGTCGCTCGTGACGTATATATTTAAAAAATAAAACGTTGACGACAATGGCCTCCGCGATCTCGTTGTCCATTAATTAATGTTCCAGTGTTCCAAACCGATAATGATAACAATAACCCGCGTGCAGTTCAAAATCTAATGCAGTCGATCTGATGTACCGCATTTATAATTAATGCAAGATTGCAAACTTTGTTGCAGCCTTCAGGTTCCGATACAGATGGTCGTGGTACAGCGTTGACTGGCGTGATTGGTGGGTTATATACAGGAGTTGCCACTGATATTGAAATTGCTACTGTGAGAGTTTCTGCAGATCCGGCTTCTGCAAATATAACATATGTTCTGGAAGGTAAATACTTACATACATATGTAGGTATAGTTTATTTCATTCCATGACACGGTTTATACTACATTCGTTCACAATTGACTCATAACTCAATTAAATTGAAATCATCATGACGTAAATGAGTAAAAGGAATGTCTATAAAATTGGCAGTGACATTATTTTCATATAATGCTACTGTTAATCGGAGAATGAATATTGATGCACTGATCAATAGTTATAACAAAGCAAGAAAGAAGGTGAGCGCAATAGCGGACAGTACAGTGTATTTAAATTGCACATGATTAACTATGTGCTTCAGAAAAAGTAATTATACCTTTTGTTAGCTCGTCAATAAACATTGGAGCTAATCTGCACTGGCTCGGAAGGTTGTAAATGATTAGCTAGTTTGAATTTGCATAACAATACTGACAATGAACGTGCATTCAACGCCACAAGTTTTTTTGTTTTTTTAGCCAATCAGAATTCATCTTCCGAGCCAGTGCAGATCAGCCGAAACATTGATTTCAGTTATTATTATGTTACCTCCATGTATGACTCTGATTTGGACTATCGTGTTGAAAGGTGCAATCGAAGCTTTGTATAATGTACAACACTCTGTTTGAACAATTTATGTTCTACCTTTATTCCAGGGATGCAAGCAGTTCTTGATGACTATGTTATGAGGAAAACGGCCAATCCTACAAATTATCAGCGTGGTGTCGCTATCGGCAGTGTATCTCTTGATGTATCAGTCGACCCAGCAGGTGCAGCTGCTTTGGAGGACCTTGTGGCTCAAATGGTAGCTGAAGACCTAGTAATTATTGGCAGTGTTGGAGAGAGTTTTCAAGCAGATTGCATGAACTTGACACCAGCCAGATTGTATGCAGATAATAGTGTGAGTCATTAAATCCACATTATATATATTTGCTGCGAATTCTTCCACTGCATTTGATACAATAAGACAACTGAGATTATTTTCACAGTTACTTTCAATGGTATGGCGGCACACTTTAATGTAGTGTCCTTTGTTAGATACATCTATAGTCAATCGAGTTTAAAGATTGAAAAATGAAGATTTATCAGGTGGTGGTAATTTAGCAAAAGTTCCAACGATGCTTTATCTTTAAACATTATTTTACATAGTTTTATCCTAATTGACCTGAATATGATGCTATCAACCACAACTGCAACAAAAAAACTGCTCATGCCATCAAAATCGATCTTTAAAAATAGTGTAAAATTGAAGATTAAATTCTACATTCTTAAAATGTTGCTATTATAACTCATTTGTTTGATTTTTATTACATGGATGGTCATACTTTAAAAACAATACTTAGTAGTGATTGTGCAATCAAATATAATAGAAATAACAATGATATCAATGTAACATCCAAATCATATGTCTAAAAGGGGAAAATGCTAGTCCGTGGACAAAACACGCTGTACAAGAGAAACAAACTACATAACGCAAATGCAGACAAGTTCATTACTTATGGACCCCAATGCATACAGCCATGAAATTATGTAAGGTGTTTCGAAAAGTGTAAGCACATCCTGCTCCACATGTGGTACCCGCCACATATCAGTCTGAGTTATATTCAGGTAGTGGTCTACTTCCTACATAGGACAAATGACATCAGAGACCATCTGTTTAACAGTACGACTATATTTTCTCACAAGCTCCTGATATCTGCCAAAAAAACTCTTGAATGTTCTGGCAACATGCTCTCTTGAGAAGCCTCGCTTTAATCTATGGCGCCTGGTAAATTCAGTATATGTGCCACACGCTCTAGCATGGCAAACATATTGTGAAATGTATGCACCATAGGCTGGAGCACGGGGAATGTTACTGGAAATATGTGGAAAATTAATAATGGCGAAATGGAAATCATCTTTTTTCGTCACATAGTCTAGTAGACATAGAGATTAATTGCAGATAAATGTCTGTTTGTGCTTTTTTTATCTTTTAACAAGTTTTGAAGAATGTCTGCGTCATATGAGTAAATAACTAAATCTGGCAGTAAGGGAACACAATTAGTTCTCATTGGAATGCCGATGGTTTATTGAAAGAGGTGTCCTTCAAACCCAATGAATATGTTGTAGATTAAGAATTCAAGCATACTAACAATGTCGTCCTCTGTACAGAATATCTTTGCATCAGTTTTGTTGACATTTGTAGCCTAATACAATGTATTTATATCTATGTAAACCATTTTTTAAAGAAAGCTTTATAAGGTTAGCCAATGACTTTCAGGAATTGTTTGTAAAATAGCTGATATATAATGAAAACTGCTGCCTTTATAGATAGTTTGAAATGTACATTATAACATTCATCAATTATGTATTAAAACTCAGAAGTGTCCAGGTTGTGCTTGTGAATTACTATCAAATTTAAAATAATGACAAATAAAATCGGCGTCATGGGCCAATTTTATTTTCATCAAACAGTAATTTTCACATGTATTCACAAATATCTAAATTGCAATAAATTGTTTCACCCACAAAGATGGACATCATAATTATTCGTTCAGTGACACCTGATGTATTATTTTAAAATATTATTTCTAATTTAATGTAATCTTATTTCAGATCATTATTGCCGGGGGAATAGACGGATTGGACTATAAAGACCCTGTGTCAAATGCTGGCGAATGTGCTGAAGTATGGGGACCTATGCAAGAGATTTGGAGTTCGGCAATTGATCCAAATGACAATTCTAGGGTTGATTACTACGCGCTTACTGATCATAGACTGATATTTGCTACTGCTCATGTGGCAGGTATTTTTTTTTTATTTGTTGATTTGTTTGATAGTGCCTTAATGATAGTTCATTGCAATAAAAGACAGTCTTCAATTCAAGTACTTTGGTACGCAGCTAATTAAATACAACACAATAAATTTGAAGTGAAAACTAATAAGGGTAGCATTAGATAAAGGGATGCAATATATAATTGTAATTGCTTTTAAAAATCGGCAGCCCAAAATAGAATGTAGTACTCACCTACATGCTCTATACACATATTGCAGAATTTGAATCAATACAGGCAAAATATTTCAAGAGCGAAATGTGAAATGAATATTAATATTTATATATCAATACGTCCAGTAATTCCATGATTGGTTCAAACACAAAATGAATATTGTTTATATATACATGACTGTGTATAAGGCAGAAACCCACTCATATGCATATTTGTGAAAAATGACGAGTTCAAATCTGAACACGTATTTTCAATCCATGAGCAGATTTATACACTAACAAGGACTACAGAATAATATTACTATCACATAATCAACATGCGTTTACGTCTTAGCCATTCATCTCAATGTATCAAACATCTGTACAATGTCAGACATGGAAAATAATTATTCAAATCCTTCATATAAAATGCATTGTGAAGATAGAAATACATTTTCTGATTACATAAGTTAAATCATGGAACACTATCATAGAACATGCCGAGCATTGGATGGTGTTAACATTTTTTGTGTTGTGATATTACATGCGACAGATCAGTGTATGCAAATAAATCTACTACCACACTCTTGTTTGTATATACAGGCGTTGCAGCTGTCATACGTAGCTACTGCCCAAATACTCCGAGCAACCTCGTAGGAACAATGGTTATAGAGTATGCCTTAGCAAATGGTGGGACAGCACTTATGCCTGGTACCGAAGAAGAGTTAGGTCCAGTTATTCGTATTGCGTATGTATATTTTATTTGTCTCGTTTTAAATATTAAAACTTAAACTTCGGTGACAGCTTACAGTTTGATCAATATATTTTGTATAATGCAATTACATGTTAATCAGAACAGTATGTGCTTAGCAGTTGTTTAGTAACGCATCTCATCTCAAGAAACTTATATTTAATAAATTTAATATTATTATTGCTAATTGTGAAAACGTTGATAATGAATTAATGTTGATAAGTGTAAAATTTCTATTTTTTTCTCTGTATTTCACAGGACCTCCAAAGAAACTCCCGTTTGCTACTAACCTTAATTCTAATTAATTCAGTAATGTAAATGTGAATTCAAATAAATCTATGTATGCATAATATTTTTGTTTACAATTATACAAACATTCATCTCTGTGCAGCACAACAATGTTGCATACGTCGCATATTATTCATATAAAAAAATACGCTTATATAAGTTATAACTCACGAGAAGGGAAAAAATACCCTTAGCATGAAATAGTGGCATTATATTTGTTTTAGGTTTAAGGTTACACAAGCTACCCAATCAATCGTCCTTCGATTTTGAAACAGGATAGTTGCTAGTTGATTTCGTTTTTTGATTAGTGAACAAATGGTAGCAAGAATTCTACTGTTGGTAAACGTTACTAACAGCAGTGTGAATCAATAAATTTATCAATTATACAATTATTGAATTAAGAACTTATCAAACGCAAATTATTTCACTACTCGCAAGATAAAAATGTCAGAATGGAAGTGGTTGCTATGACTCTCTCACGAACGTGCCGTACATTCTATCTGCGAACACAAATCACTAAGCTTAGAGCGTTCTCGACGAGCGTCGGCGTGGCACGCCTAGAACCGTTTAGAATCCTCACAGCGTAGAACGTGCCGGAGCGATCCAGATGCGACGTTTCAGTGGCAGTGACAATAATGAAGTGAAACTGACACTATTGTTGTGAACAATAGCGTTGTGTTTGGGGATCAGGGAACTTCATCTCGCTTGGCTGATGTCACTTACACGTAGAGGTACCAGATTCGACCCAAATAAATGCACATAAGTTCATTACAGATAGTCCTGCTTTATTCACACAAGCAGACAGCACATGCACGTTGTTGATTCAAAACAATAGTCTAACAGCGTGGGACGGAATATGCAAGCGTGGAGTCGCTATCATAACACTATACCCAAACGATAACGTTTCCTTGTAGCCATTAAATGACAAATTATACCACAATTATTCAGGAAACTGACAGGTCACTGGTAAACCACTAGTAAACAATACTAGTAAACCACAGTACATCAATTCAATAGAAGAAATATATATGGACCTCATGTTAAATGTCACTTGCAAGGGAATGTTGTAACTGTGAATATAATACATATTAGTGGCAAATGAAAGGCAACAGGAAACATTAAAATGAATCGAAGTAATCAATGACAGGCCAATACATTGAAATCAAAGTTGATGTCCCCATAAAAACTACTAATGTACCTAAATAGCCGACAACATTTAAATAAATCTAATTTTTTAATTTAAAATTGAAATGGAAACTAATTTTCCACAAATACAATGTTTCGTGTTTCTGCCAATTTGTCGACAAAAACGTCATAATGAAGATGCTGTTGTGATTTATGTTGTAGTGACCTTTTCGTCCTCCTGGTTAAAGTATATTTTTGAAGTTACATTTACAGATTGACTCAACGTTTTTCAAATTCTGAAAATTGAATTGGCTTATACAAGCTTAAGTAGGTGTCTCGTTCATTCATGCACATCATGATGTGGGCGGAAAATGTGGGGTAGAATCGGGTCAACCAAGATGCATACATATTAACAGCCTCATTCACTATACTATTACACTGTAAATTTATGTGTTTTAAAATATAACATTTTTGTCCCCACTTTAAAATTACTTTAAGTGATTTATATTTAAACACATTAAATATTTTTCTTAAAATCGCAAATGAGTTATTGTACAACACTTCTGTTTTAAAATAAAACATTTTTACCGTTTTGTGATAAAGCATCTAAAGTGTTTATAAATTTGTCCCCACTTTAAAAATACTTAAAGTGCATAATTGCGAAAAGTGTTTATTATGAAAACACTTTTATTTCGTGATGTTTTTGCTCATAACAATTATGTAAAGTGATACTATTAGAAACACGTTTTTAAAAGTGTTTCCACCAGAAACATGTATAAAAAGTGCTTATTATCACAATACTTTTAAAAGTGTTTTTACTAGTCACACATTTTGTAAAGTGTTTATCATCACGGCACTTTTAAATGTGAAACACAAACTGAATATTGACAAGTGCTCGAAACAGAGACACATTTTAAAATGTATTTGCACTGATAACATGTTAACAAATCACTAACATTAACATGTTTGAGAACAAAATATATCAAATAATGTGTTTCATGATGAGGCACTTTGCATTATTGTACAGTAATCATAACAAACAATAAACAAATCACATAATAAGTAAGAATGTATTTCTAAATATGTACATTAATAGGGTATGTTCAAATGTAACATTTAAAAAAAAACAGACATGTATAGTTGTTGTAAACGATATCACGTGAATAAGTGTGTTTACTGAAATTCAAACCTTTTGTGAAATTGTAGATACAATACCGCATATTTGTGAACATTGACACTTCAAAACAGATTGGGAATTAGCTGAAATGAACAATAACATCTATTTAAACCCTTTTCTCAATGGCAAAAATCTCTTTAGTGTGGTATTGTTGTCTCGGAAGCAGTCCCTCCGAGAATATCAAATTCCTAGGGAAAAATAGTGGAACATAAAAAAACATTAAATTCACCAACTGTGAATACATGCACTACATCTATAATTCTATTTGCTTTCATCGTTTACTTTTCTATCTGTCCAATGGGTTGATTGCTTATTTTTGTCACTTTTAAAATCACCCCTAAAACGGACGGTATCTTGAAACTATAGTTAACTAATAAACAACAGTTCTTCTCGCATAGAAGACGAAGGCACTGAACTAACAATAACCCATATTAACAGGACAAAATTAATTCCGATTATTAGCAGTATCATCTTGTCCGCTCTGATCGTTTATCTGAAAAGCATAATGCAGTGATTAATGTTTAATTAATTATCATTATTGTTCCATCGTTTGTGCAGACAGGTGGTGAAGCGGCGCAAGTTATAAAAAGGCCTCACAGAAATTTGTGGGAAATTATTAGAAGACATGTCATCTGAGGATAAATTGAATTATATCATTTGAATGCTCTTGCCGTTATCGACGAAAGTGAATGCAATTGACACGTCACTGTGTAGCATAGTGGTTGTTGTACCAGACTCATGATCGGTAGTCCAAAGTTCAAATCCTACCTTAGGCTGAACATCAAAGGGTCGACCCCTACCCTGGGCGAGTGTGCCACAGACTCAATGGGCAGGCCAACTCCACTGGCCGAGATTCATTTCACTAACGAATGCGACTTGTGGGGAACCTTGGTCAAGGTCCGTAGGTGCTCGTGTTCGACCGGGCCTGGTTGACACCAGGATAGCGCATTACAAATTGCCATGTGACAGAGAGATGACCACACAGGCCTGTCATGTATTTAATATTCCTCAACTAGTTTGTCTGATTTTTTACGAAGTTTTTGGTACTTGATGTCGACATCGAAGAGGCTAACAATTGGTTAATTGAACGAGCGCACCGTACTCCAACAGGTCCACCTCGAGGTGGGGGCAGACCAAGACCGATTCACTTAAAGTTTTTAAGATTTCCGAATAGAGTTTTGATGTTGAAAACCGTTTCACGTAAATTGACATGGTCAATAATCTGAAAGGTCAAAATGTGAACCGTGCTGTATCGGATGACGTGACTGCCAAAGGAAATTATTTTTGACAAAGAAAAATGACTTCAAGCTCAAATTCCCGAAGAAGAAAGCGTTTATTCCACTACAAATACCAGCCATGTTACTTTATGAAGACGGCAATTGGAAATTAAAACGTTTCCTTTATGACGAGGAAGTGCCACAGTAAGAATTTGGTATGTGTTACACAGCTGTCACATTTGCGGATATGTTTACTCCTATTGGACTGTAATTGTTTTGTTTTTGTTTTATCTGGGACTATTTAACTGAAACTATTTATTATTATTTTGTTAGCAACATTACGTGTCTTTTTTTTTGTCTTGTGTTTTCGGCCAACTACCATTTTATCTTCTTGGTTATTCAAGTCATGAGTGTTTTTTTATGATCTGGTGTACGAGCGTGTGGTATATTTTAGTTGATAATGAATACGTTATCATTCAGCCTACTCTCATTAAATGTGAGGGGCATCCGCAATAATTTAAAAAAAAAAAATTGCCTGGGTGAAATAAAATGCCAATGATATAATTTTTCTTACAGGAAACGTTTAGCTCACAAGAAATTGAAAATCAGTGGATGAAAAAGTGGAAAGTAAAACATGATTTTTCCTATGATACAAACCATAGCCGTGGGGTCTGTATTATTATCCGTGACTCTATTGATTACAATATTCATAATATATAAACACACACCATTGCTCGGTTCATCTGTTTAGACCTCACTATTCAGAAGGTTGATATTATTTTATGCAATAGTTATGCCCCAACAGGTTGCCATAGCTCAGACTAAATACACTTTTTTGATAATGTTAACACAAAAATTTGAGAATTTAATTCAGAAGGAGACAAACAGGTGATTTGTGGAGGGATCTTAATATATGTATGGATTGACCGTCAGGGTGGAAATTTGAGACACGGTCAACATTTACTGAATACTGTTATTGATATTTGGACGGTGAGAAACCTCTTAAAAACACTTTACTTGGCGTCAAAGAAACCCACTGATTTAAAATCGTTTGGACTATTTGTTAGTTTCGAATCTTCTCCAGGATAGTGTCTCAATTTTGACATCAATCTCCTCAGATCATTCAGCAATTTGTAAATATTTTGATTGTGATGTGTGGGGAAAGCATGGTAGATCCTATTTGAAATTTAACAATACCTTATGAACTGATCAGGGTTATACTACCCAATTAACTCAGCATATAAATGAATGGCTACACGAATTTAAAGAGATAGATGCAAGAGAATTGTAGGTGTTACTGAAATACAAAATAAGAAATTTTTCAAGTTCTACTCAAGCCCATACAAAACATGAAAAATTATCCAATTAGAGAAACAAATGTCAGATTTTGAGTTAGACCCCAATTAAACATATTTACAAGCAAAATCTCAATTGGAAAGTTTTTGGAATGAAAAAAACATGTGGAATTATTATTCGCTCAAGGTGTGATTGGTATGAGTTGGAAGAAAACAAATACTAATTATTTTCTAGGTTTAGAGAAACTCA